AATAGCAGGAGTCACGGGGACGCTCAATTCCCTTCAAATTTCGCGCCCACCAAGAGATTACTCGTAAATCAAAACTGAAGTAGGTGGCGGATATGAATCTGGGGAGGGCTAACTTCAGCTACTTCTCGGGGGCCGCGGAACGCAATGGCGCGGCTGCAGGGGTAAGTGCGATTCTCGAGAGTTTCTTTAGAAAATGTGCAAACGCGCGATGTTGAAACCTCATGTACCTCTTTCCGCAAGTAGAAATCTCGTGCGTGAAACTTCTTGTCACTCCGGTTTAAATGCACGCGTTGTCCATCGATATCGATTGTTTACCGATCCGCGAATGAGGGAGATTTCTTGGTTACGTATTTTCGCGATCCGTATATCGACGAACGCGTGGGCGCGAGGAAGGCGTAATCCCGTCAGCGAAACTATACCGGTCGAAATTTCGAAAAAAAATCCGCGACGAGAAAAATTTCTCGCTTCTCGTAACGTGCACTTGTATAGCGGTTTGATAGCGCGATCGACAATGGCGGGGAAACGGGCGCCGCGAGCGGAATCGCAAATTTCGGGGTTAACGCAGGTCAGTTAACGCGGACGCGTGACCGGTGGTCCGGATTACTCCGCATCAGTGTATATCGTCCGCGGTACCGCCGCGCGCGTTATCCGCGGGTACACGATGATCGTCGCGGGTGCGCGGGTCCCGCTGGTAAAGGATGGTAACCGCGAAGGAGTGGAGCGGAGCGGAGCGGAGCAGAACGCGTGAATTATACGACGACGAGCTGGGCGAGATCGTTGTCCGTAGCCGGTGCGTCGGTCGACGAGGAGGACGGCGAGGAGAGGCGTGGAGGAACGGCCGCGGCGGCGGGGAGGGAGAGGGGGGGGGGCAAGAGAAGCCGGGGGACGCGGCGGAGGTCGCGACTCGCGCGCGGCGAGGCCCCCTCGAGCGGCCCGGCGCGGGCCGCGCACTTCAGTCGGTGCGAGCGGTTCAGATCGGTCGTGTCGTCCCCGCACGCTCCCGGTATCCGATCGTCCCGGCGTCGCGCGGAGCCGATTCGCCGATCGTCGACGCTCCGGATCGTCTCGCGCCGCGTCGCGCCGCGCCGAGGATCGCCGCCCCGAGGGACAATCGATCGACGATCGCGCCCCGTCCGCGGATCGTTCACGCGGGTCAATTCGCCGCCTCCGCGGTCCACCACCCCGGTCGTTCGTCGGCGTGCGCGCGCGCGCGCGCGCACGCAAGAAGCACGCGGCGTACTCCAGCATTATATTACTCTCTTCGGCTCCAGTGCAGGTTACGGGACGATTCGCGATCTGCTGCGGGTGGTAAGTGTCTTCACGGCGCAGATTTTGCCGATTTCACGTAGTGCAGCGAGATGGAGGAGCACGCGGCCGGGCCGCGGGAGGGAGG